TCTTTGATTCATAACCACACCACTTTACTCATAACTACTAATCACATATCTCATAACCAACATTCTTTGATTCATAACCACACCACTTTACTCATAACTACTAATCACATATCTCATAACCAACATTCTTTGATTCATAACCACACCACTTTACTCATAACTACTAATCACATATCTCATAACCAACATTCTTTGATTCATAACCACACCACTTTACTCATAACTACTAATCACATATCTCATAACCAACATTCTTTGATTCATAACCACACCACTTTACTCATAACTACTAATCACATATCTCATAACCAACATTCTTTGATTCATAACCACACCACTTTACTCATAACTACTAATCACATATCTCATAACCAACATTCTTTGATTCATAACCACACCACTTTACTCATAACTACTAATCACATATCTCATAACCAACATTCTTTGATTCATAACCACACCACTTTACTCATAACTACTAATCACATATCTCATAACCAACATTCTTTGATTCATAACCACACCACTTTACTCATAACTACTAATCACATATCTCATAACCAACATTCTTTGATTCATAACCACACCACTTTACTCATAACTACTAATCACATATCTCATAACCAACATTCTTTGATTCATAACCACACCACTTTACTCATAACTACTAATCACATATCTCATAACCAACATTCTTTGATTCATAACCACACCACTTTACTCATAACTACTAATCACATATCTCATAACCAACATTCTTTGATTCATAACCACACCACTTTACTCATAACTACTAATCACATATCTCATAACCAACATTCTTTGATTCATAACCACACCACTTTACTCATAACTACTAATCACATATCTCATAACCAACATTCTTTGATTCATAACCACACCACTTTACTCATAACTACTAATCACATATCTCATAACCAACATTCTTTGATTCATAACCACACCACTTTACTCATAACTACTAATCACATATCTCATAACCAACATTCTTTGATTCATAACCACACCACTTTACTCATAACTACTAATCACATATCTCATAACCAACATTCTTTGATTCATAACCACACCACTTTACTCATAACTACTAATCACATATCTCATAACCAACATTCTTTGATTCATAACCACACCACTTTACTCATAACTACTAATCACATATCTCATAACCAACATTCTTTGATTCATAACCACACCACTTTACTCATAACTACTAATCACATATCTCATAACCAACATTCTTTGATTCATAACCACACCACTTTACTCATAACTACTAATCACATATCTCATAACCAACATTCTTTGGCTCATAACCACACCACTTTACTCATAACCACTAATCACATATCTCATAACCACACCACACTACAAGAAAAGTGGGCTTATGAGGCAGAACTTTTTGCGACAACACATTTGCCATTGCAAAAAATGACTTTTTGCGACGGCACAACTTGCTGTCGCAAAAAATGTGACTTTTAGAGACGGCACAACTTGCCATCTCAAAAAATATGCCTTTTTGAGACGGCACAACTTGTCGTCGCTAAAAAATGTGACTTTTTGAGACGGCACAACTTGTCGTCGCAAAAAATGTGACTTTTGGAGACGTCATAACTTCCCGTCTAAAAAAAAAGTGACTTTTTGAGACGACACAACTTGCCGTCACCAAAAAATGTGACTTTTTGAGACGACACAACTTGCCGTCGCAAAAAAATAGAGTATTTGCGATGACAGAAATTGCTGTCGCAAAAAAAAAAGAAGAGTATTTGCAACGGTACCGGCTGCAGTCAAAAAAAAAAAAGTTTTTGCGATTGTAATACGTACCGTTGCAAAAAAAAAGTTTAAAAAATATATATATATATATTGTGGCTTTGAGACGGCTTCATATATATATATATAGCCATAAAATGGTTTAAATAAATGCAACGGTATTTTTCTGTTACAAAAAAAATAAAAAAAAATAAAAACGACGTCGTCTTACTCTTTTGAACATTTCTCCTTTCACCTATTTTTTCATCTTTCTATCTCTCTGTCTCTGTCTCTCTTCTCTTTCTCTTTCTTTCTCTCACTCATAACTCTTCTCTGTCTGTCTATCTGTCTGTCTGTCTCTCTCTCTCTTTCTCTATGTGTCTCTGTCTCTCTTATCTCTCTTTCTCTCACTCATCATTCTTCTTTGTCTGTCTATCTCTTTCTTTCTCTCTATGTCTCTGTCTCTCTTCTCTTTCTCTCTCTCACTCATCATTCATCACTCTTCTCTGTCTGTCTGTCTCTCTCTCTTTCTCTCTGTGTCTCTTGTCCATCTTTCTTCTCTTTATCTCTCTCATCTCGCCTCTCTCTTTGTCTCTCTTCTCTCTCTCTCTTCTCTTTATCTCTCTCGCTCTCTCGCTCATCTCTCTCTGTTTCTCTCTCTCGTTTATCTCTTTTCGCTCTCTCTCTCTCTCTCTCTCTTTGTCTATATCTTTTCATCCATTTTTTCATTTTCCTTCCTTTCTCTCTTCTCTTTCTCTCTCTCACTTATCACTTTTCTCTGTCTGTCTGTCTGTCTATCTGTCTGTCTCTGTGTCTCTCACTCATCTATCTCTTCTCTCATCTCTTTTCTCTCTCTGTCTCTTTCGCTGATCTCTCTTCTCTTTATCTCTCGCTGATCTCTCTTCTCTCTATCTCTCTCATCTCTCATCTTTCTCTGTCTCTCTCGCTCATCTCTTTTCTCTCTATCTTTCTCTCTGTCTCTCTCGTTCATCTCTCTTCTCTTTATATCTCTCTTGCTCATCTCTCTTCTCGCTATCTCTCTCTGTCTCTCTCGTTCATCTCTCTTCTCTTTATGTCTCTTTTTTGTCTCTCACTCTCTATCTCTTTTTCTTTCTCTCTCTCTCTTTCTCTCTCTCTCTCTCTCTCCCACTGTGTTTGCGTTGTTCACTCTCTCACTCCCGTCTTCTCTATTTACTGAGCTCCCTTTAGATTTATCGATCCACTACACGAAAATGCACTTTTAGCGACCACTTTATCTCTCTCTCGCTCATCACTCTGTCTCTCTCCTCTATCTGTCTCTCACTCATTTATCTCTCTCACCACCCATCTCCTCTACCACCTTCACCACTACTACAAACTCTATTCCACCACTACCGCTACTTCCACTGTCGCCACTTCACCTCTACGACTACCATTACTACTGTCATCGCCACCACTTCATTACCACCACTACCACTACTGCCACTACTACTACCATTACCTCTCCTTCATCCCTGTCACTCCATTTACACTACCACTACCACTACCACAACTTCACTACTAATCTCTTTCACCATCACCATCACCATCACCTCTTATCCCCCATCTTCACCACTATTGCCGCTCCCTTTCCTCTACCACAAAAATTAGTTCATGATTTTTAGTAACAAAAAAAAAAAAAATAGGCCGCAGAAAAATATTTTTCATTGACTACAAAAAATTAACTTTTATTTTAGTGGAAAATATTTTTCATTAAAATATTACCCCTACTTCTACCAAATAAATAATAATAATAATTTTTTAAAAAAATTCATTAACTACAAAAAAATATATATTTTAACAAAAAATAATTTTTTTTGACGACGACAACCCCCGCCGCAAAAAAAAAAAAAAAAATTAAACGACGTTATTTTATTATTTAAATTTCATTTGTGACTAAAAAAAATATATTTTTTATTTTTTATTCCCGCCCCTTTTTTTTTTTTTTTAGCAGGAATACTTTCACATTACCCGTCCAATTTATGAATTATGATTTATTTTTATTTTTTTTCATATTTTTCCATGTCTTTACATAAACCTAAAATTAAAGCACTAAAAAAATTCTGATTTACCCGTCCAATTTATGAATTATTTTTATTTTTATTTTTTTTTGATTTTTTTCCATGTCTTTACATAAACCCAAAATTAAAGCACTAAAAAAATTCTGATTTACCCGTCCAATTTATGAATTATTTTTATTTTTATTTTTTTTTGATTTTTTTCCATGTCTTTACATAAACCCAAAATTAAAGCACTAAAAAAATTCTGATTTACCCGTCCAATTTATGAATTATTTTTATTTTTATTTTTTTTTGATTTTTTTCCATGTCTTTACATAAACCCAAAATTAAAGCACTAAAAAAATTCTGATTTACCCGTCCAATTTATGAATTATTTTTATTTTTATTTTTTTTTGATTTTTTTCCATGTCTTTACATAAACCCAAAATTAAAGCACTAAAAAAATTCTGATTTACCCGTCCAATTTATGAATTATTTTTATTTTTATTTTTTTTTGATTTTTTTCCATGTCTTTACATAAACCCAAAATTAAAGCACTAAAAAAATTCTGATTTACCCGTCCAATTTATGAATTATTTTTATTTTTATTTTTTTTTGATTTTTTTCCATGTCTTTACATAAACCCAAAATTAAAGCACTAAAAAAATTCTGATTTACCCGTCCAATTTATGAATTATTTTTATTTTTATTTTTTTTTGATTTTTTTCCATGTCTTTACATAAACCCAAAATTAAAGCACTAAAAAAATTCTGATTTACCCGTCCAATTTATGAATTATTTTTATTTTTATTTTTTTTTGATTTTTTTCCATGTCTTTACATAAACCCAAAATTAAAGCACTAAAAAAATTCTGATTTACCCGTCCAATTTATGAATTATTTTTATTTTTATTTTTTTTTGATTTTTTTCCATGTCTTTACATAAACCCAAAATTAAAGCACTAAAAAAATAGCAGCGCTGCATACCCCCAGTGGGGGTCGCACCCCTAGTGAGGTGTCGCGCCCCCACTGGTTGAAACTTAAAAAAAAAAAAAAAAAAAAAACAGTTTTTTTTTTGGCCAATTATGGAGTGCCACCTCACTGGGGGTCCACCCCCAGTGGGGGTCCGAAGCATTAATCCTAAAAAAATTTTGATTTAGCGCCTAAATTGAATGATATCAAAATTTCAATCCAAAAGAAACTTTTCAACTCCTTGGTTAGAACTTTGTGCCCTAATAATCTATCCATAGTTCTTTCACAAAGCTGTAACAGAGAACAACGTGAGCTCATCCTCCACCGTGAGGACGGTTCATCCTCCACAGCGTGAGTTCATCCTGCACCGACATCAAGCTACAGCACCACCGTGAGTTCTAGGTCAGTTTGTTGTCTCTGTTTCTCTTTCTCTACCCCTCTCTCTCTCTTCTGGTTTCTGGGTTTCTCATTCTCTACCCTCACTCTGTCTTCGGACGTGTTTGTGTAAATGGAATTCATTATTAAGATGAGATTAAAGTCATTCCATTCGTTAGTTCTAACATCTCCAAAACTTCTCTACTTTAAAGGGTTCCATGAACAACTTGAATGATTTTAATTTGGGAAAAAAAATATAGAAAACAGAATGATTAACATGTTTTGTATTTTGATTATGGTATTCATATTCTACCCAATATAATCGTTGAAGTGAATGAATTGTTGGTGATTCTACACACAGTAAAGTCTCATGCTTCTGATTATGGGTCTGCTAGGTGTTTGATAAAATGCCACAATGGCTAGTTTTTTCTTTATTGTTTTGTTCGCGTTTTTTTATTTTTTTTATTTTTATTTTTTATTTTTTAAGGAGCAGCAGGATTGGATAATTATAAAATCTGATTAATCTTCCCCCTCCTTTCTCCAATCACAAAGTTATTGTAAGGATAATGACTGATAAATGACAATGATGCCCTTGTTTTGCATTTCACATCCTTGGTTCTTGTAATGAATGATAAATGATAATGATGTCCCTGCTAGATATGGTCTAAATTCAAGCCAGAATTGCTCATTTGCTAAGTAATAGAAATTCCCTTTCTTTTGTTAGATGTCCTGTATTTTAATGCATTATCTTGCATCTCCCACATGTAAGAAAATTTAAGCAACATTGTAGGTAATTCTGTGATGAGTTTTGTTAATTTGTAGGTTTTGAATTATTTGACATTATTGACGCCCTTCTTTTTTCAATTGACAACAATGCACATAACTATTTTAGTAATCCACAATAATGTTTCTCTTTATATGTACTATTCATTAGGCAAACCTTTCTTTGGTCTCTAATGCACAAGTCAGTAGAAATATTCCTTCGTCAATGCTTGTGCTCATAGAATCCCCGTCCGTTTCAGTCTAGTAAAAAGTGATGGTTTTTGCAAACTAGTTATTCCTAGTATCTTCAACCATAAAGCTATTTTCTCCTATGTTGAATGAACCCCTAAATACCACTTCATTTTTTGCGTAACTTTGTGGCAGAGAAAAAAATTCAAGATCGTGTTCACTTTGTTAACAAAACCCTTAATGTAGCTCCTTATCTTGTGTCCATTGATGTTCTTGTTTAGAACTCCCAAGTACTTTCGCTGAATTACGGTGTCAGTTCACATTGCAAGCATTACTTTATTTATTCATTTTTCCATTTTTTCTAGGAGTCATAGTTTATAAAAGTAAATTCAGTAAAGCAGTGTCACCTATATACACTTATTTTTTCTTTCAGTTTGACATTCTACTTCTTCGTTTTAGTAGGATTCATTTACCTTTTAACTAATATCACTCCTTTGCCTTTTTTACTTCAAATTGAACCAACCTCTATGTGTCTCTACCATTCATAGATGAATTATTTATCGTTGTTGTTGAAATCTGAACACAATATATCTTGTAATTCCCAAATTCAATCACAAAACATATGGGGGATGGAGCACAGTATGATATGGTGTTTCCTGTTGTTCATTGGTGAAACCAAAGCAAAGTCCAATTTTGTGAATCTAAAGATAAAACTTTGGGGTTTAAATGCCCAACAACTTATGAAAGCCATTAATGAGTAGTGAGTTAAAACAGCAGGAACAGTAGCTTTTTATCCTGTCATCTATCCTGTAGCTTTATATTTTTATGTGTGCTGTTATGTATTATCAATTGAAAGAATACTTTTTGATTGAACGTAATGAAATATTTCATCATCCTGGTTGCAGGTTCTTGTCATTTTCTGTGAACCAACTGCGGTAAAAGTTAATACCATTCGCAGCATTGCATCTCAGATAATGAACAGAGAAAGTTTGACTCGGCTGATATTAGTGGTGCAAAATCAAATGACAAATCAAGCTCAGAAAGCTGTGGATCTTTTCTCCTTCAAAGTTGAAATATTCCAAGTACGTTTCTGGTATTATCGAAGTATTGCATTTTTTTTTCCCCATTCTTTACATTACTGTTACTATGTTGAGATGCGAATTTTGGCATTCCAGAGTATCGTTTCGTGTTTTAATGCTTGATTTGTGACCATTAAGTATAACTGACTTACCAACAATTAAGCAAATATCGATGAATATTAGCTACAAGCACACTTGACTTGAAGGATTTCCTTTAGAAGGGATGTATATGTCATGCATTTTCTGTGGGGGAAAACTGTTCGATTCAATACTTTAGGTATTGAGACCCTCAAGCCATTCAGAAATAATTTTAAAATTTTCATCATGGATGAGTAATAAGGGAATTGTTGTTGGTGATGATTAATTTGAGTGGAATCCTTATTGGCCAAAACAAATTTATGTGAGGTTTGACTGGATCCTTAGGAATGTATTGCAATGATTAAAGAAAGTTTTTTGAGTAATTTTACTGGGATGTGGGAGTATAGAAAAGAAAACAAATTCATCCTCGAGGAGGAGGATGTCGAGTTGTCTTTTCAGAGTATATTGGCTTACAAGAGGAGAGTTGGAGGAGGAAGCAAGAGAAAGAGCATTCTGTCAAATTAGTATCTTAGTTTTGATTATTTTTCAAATAATCCTTCTATAAAGCTGCCCGTTTTTAAATCATTTGGCTTACTTTTGTGATTAAATTCTATTTCATGCCTTTAATGTCGTACCGTTCTATATTTAGATTACCGACTTGCTTGTTAACATTACAAAGCATGTGTTAAAGCCAACGCATCGAGTACTTAATGATAAGGAGAAGCAGAACCTCTTGAAGAAGTTTAGTTTGGAAGAAAAACAGGTTAGTTATTAATTTGTGATAGTTTTGCTATTTTAAACTTGAAAATGCTAAAAAAAGGATGTTGCTATCTAAGAAAGTTTTTTGTTTCTATTTTTATTGCTTAGCTGTTGAGAACTCATATTCTTGTTGTGGGTTCTATTATCACTTTTCTTTTTATAAAACTGCATATTCATGTTGGTGTTTCGTAGTTGATCTTTGATTCTTAACGTACTGGTGTCTAAAATATTTATTTAGTGCTGCTTAGATGTAGCTATTCCTCATTAATGTTGTAGGAGTTCTTCAATGTATTTACACATACATAATATAAGATGCATTTAACATCAAACGTAAATCTCTCGAATATGTTAACCATGTAAAGTTAGATGTTGGGAAGATAACTTTGGTTGGAGGATATGAGTAATTAGTCTGAAAATTACTCAATCGAGATGTCATAATATAAGAGAGTTGTTGTATATGCTGGGATGTGGCCATGACCCTTGTACTACCCTCAAACCAAATGTCAATGTTTGACTTGATCCCGAATGGAGTCATCATATCCTACTCAGCAATAGTGAAATCAAGGATAGAGGATCACCTAGGTTTTATTGTTTGAGGCTCATCTGGTATGTCTGGTATGCAGCTTGTGACAAATATTGGCTCTGGTTGAGCAAAGACATCTTGTCCATATTTTAGTGTTCAGCATACATCCTCTATACATTACACGCATGCATGCGCACGCACACGCGCACACACACACACCCCCCCATATTACATATGTGATGCTAGAACATAGTGATGTTCATAGTGTTCAACATAGTGATATTGTGTAATCCTTCCAATGAATTTGACTGAAATCATTTTGTGTTTTCCCTTAGATTCCTCGGATGCTACAAAAAGATGCAATTGCACGGTATTACGGACGGGAGAAGGGGCAAGTGGTGAAAGTTAGTTACAGTGATGAAATTACAGAGTCTCATGTCACTTATCGCTGTGTTTGGTGATGCGTGTATTGTCCATTTTCAGGATTTTCTGTCTGACTATATATCATCTGTGTTAACTCATGCTGAAACTTTGGTTGGTAGAAGTTAATAGGTCTATGATCTTCATGTTCTTTTATTATGTCGACATTGATGCTGTTGGCGGGAATTTCAAGTATGTGTGTGCTTGTTAATATATATTGCAGCTTGTGAATTGTGTTATTTTTTAGGCTTATATTTGCCTTTTGTGAACTTTTTCAATTTTGAGTCCAAAGATATTTACTTTTTAGGTCTATCTAGATTAGACAATCCTAAAACGTTTTAAAAAATAGAAAAATTTCAACAGAAGTTTAGTAAATTCAAAAATAAGTTCACTTTTGTATGTTTGTTATTATAAAATCTGACTTTTAATATTTTTTTTTATTTTAAAGGACTACTTAGTGGCCAAAACTCGTGTTTTTTACTATAAGGTCATGAGTTCGACTCTCAATATATCCAAACAAATATATGTAGGCAAAGTAACCGGGATAAGCTGCCAAAATCTTTATTCTAGAATGATCTATCCACGATAAATTTAATAGCAGTAATTGGAGCACAATTATAAACCCATCGAATTGTAAGAATTGCCTACTTTGGCTTGTTTTGAGAAGTAGGAAAAAATTAGCTTTTTGATTTTTTTTTTCTTGTTGAAAAAATGTATAAAAAGTAAAAAGGTGATGTAATATAAATAAGTTAATAAATTGACTTATTTTCATGTTCCCAAAAGAAGCCAAAGCATTCTCTTCAGAGTAAGGAAAAAAAAAAAAATTGAACAAAAAAAGAAGGAAAACAGCCCAAAAAAGAATAATGTCAAACTAACTTGATCTTTCGCAGAAACCGAGCTTCAAACCAGAAACATGAATTTCCAAAGCATCCTCCAAAACAACAATGAGAAAACTATCCCTCCTTTATTTCAGTAAAAATAAATAAAAATTATGACAGCCACAAAATATATTCTACATTGCTACAGTCGTACTAAAATTTATTTATAATAAGTTCAATGAATTAAGTAGAGTTCAGTCAACAACGGTAATTCTCATCTATTTGAATTATCAATCTACTTCACCAAAACAATAACAAGCTGCCAACAGGTTGGATTCAAGCAGTGGTGTCCATTCCTACTTTCTACAATTACGCTTGTCAATATAAAAAAATAAAAAATAAAAATTAAAAAATAAAAAATAAAAAATATAAAAAGAAAAGGAAATTGACCCAAGACAATTTTGGTAGTATGTTATTCTGCAGTCAATATTGAATTAACCAATTTTTTCAACCTAAAGAGGCAGCAATCCCACCAGCCACAAGTCCTACAACTGTTGCAGTGATGCCTATTCCAATAAGCCCATCTACACACCACCACCAACAACAACAACAAAAAAAAAAAGAAATGTATTTTCAGTTTCTTTAAGATCTGAAAAATTGATAAAGAGAAGTATCGTCATCACCTTTAGTGATTTGATCATCAAGAGTCTTCTTGAGGGTCAAAGCTTGCATCTAATCAGGTGCAATCTGCAACACATGAAATACGTATGTGATTTCCCATGCATGAGAAATTTTCTATAATTATAGACTGTTAAATTAAAGTCAATATATAATTAATAAGCCAGAAAGAAAAATTACTTAAAAAAAAGAGAGAAAAAGAGTTCATTTAGATGTACATTGTCTATGTTATGGTAGTAATCAATAATTGGGTGATTTGAAGATTATTTGAGTGGATGAAGGAATTTAAAATGAGCCGGAGATTAGACAGATCAAAATATAACTCTGTCATAGCATTTCAATGATGAATTGCCCTTCAGATCCATGATAAAAAGTCATTGTGAAAAACATCAAATTATCAAAACTAGTAACAGGAAATGCAAGTCATGTCATTTCTTTCAAATTATTGTATTATTATTATTTTGTTTGAGTATCATTTGTTTGAAATTATAATCTGAAAGATAATCAATCACACATCACACAAAGTAAAATCATGTAGGTATGAAAAAGAACCTGAAAAGAAAATTGCAATACTAGGTACAAATTCTGATAAGATACAGGAAAGGGAAAAAAAAACCTCTAAACATTGTTCTGCAAGCTGCCTGCTCCTTCGATATTCACCACTTCTGTAATACCCAACAGCAAGAAGATAAAGCTTTTCCCTCTTTTGCAATGGGCTGCCACTATTGGCTAATGAGGCTGCCAAAGAAGAATTGTTCAGTTTCTGACAAGGGCTGAAATTTCATATACAAAATCACAAGTAAACGCTTAGATTAGTGTTTGCTTAAGATCATTTTCAGCCCTTCACCAATTTTTTCATCTAATTTGGTTCCAAATTTGAGTAAAAAGTTTGATTTGATATTAACTACTCCAATCCTTTCATCAATTTTCCATCGAAATCTTTTTGATGGTGATTACTTCAGATACAAAAGTTACCGTTTACAAACTCTTTACAGAAGGGGTCAGCACCAAGTCCGCAACTTTGAGGTTTGCTACGTTGAGCTAATAATTTGAATTTCTCAAGCATAAACAAGTATGGAGCACAAAATGCAGTAAACTTTTGATGGCCCCTAAACTAATCATCCAAAAATGTGTATACAACATGCAACTTTTAGCAAGTGCACTGGCTGTTAAGTTCCTTTTTTTCTCCATTTTTCCATGAATAAAGAAACAAATCAAGTTAAAAAATACAAAAAGAGACACAACAATGCACATGCATGCACATACAAGATCAGGGTGAGGTGATAGTTACAGTGAAGATTGGTGGCAAAGAGAGTAAAATAAAAGTGTAAACAACAGGAGGATGTTAAATGGAATAAGTGGAATAATTAAACAAGATTGAAATCACAATCGTATGAGAACTATAAACTCCTTGCTGTAAAGAAAAATTATTTAGTACTGAATTTATTGGTTCTGACCTTCAAGCATAGCAATCCCATGCTGCATGTCTTCTGGTTGTTTGGAATGAACAAGAGCCCATGATAACCGTATAATTCTCTCACTCTTTAGTTCATCTGAGACACCATTTGCAGCCTCTGAAACTTCTCTCTCACAGCCCTACACAAGAAAGACTTCAGAGCATAGACAAAAGTATGGAAGAACCAGAGAAAATTTCATATACATGGATAGTGCCACTGCCACAGCAGCATTTGATGCCTTGGGGGTTATGTCTTTATTGTCATGAAATAAAATATTAATAATAGCAAAGTGTTGTGGATTTCTACATCTTTTCTGAAGCAGGAAAAAACGTAGTTCAATCACAAACAAGAGTTAATGCTGGCAATAGAATCTGATATGGTTCTGAAGATTTAAAAAACTACTTGACAAAACAATCACATCGACTTAGACTCATTTTCAGTGCTTATTCCAATCTTTTTTTTGTTTGTTTGTTTGTTGTATCAGCAATAAGGATAACAAAATATCTCTAAGCACGGATGAGATCAACAGTATCTTCCAGTAATGCTGTTGCACTCCAATCAACAAGAAAACTTATTGAGCATATATTCTCCTGTATAGTGGTCAGCATCCAAATGAAAAAACATAATAGCTACAAATAGAAAATCATTACAAGGCTTGACATGGGCAGAACGATTCAACCAAGGACTGCAGGGAATGTTGCTTAAAAGATGGAAAACCAAATATCGTAGACATAACACACTTTCATTGCTTGATTGCCACTAAGTTTGCATTGAGAAGAGAAATAAAAGAAAAAACTAATTTTGGGACAGAAATTCCAACCACAACCCCAGTGAATTTTACAGAAGATAACAGATTTAAATTTATCATCATCCACCCCAAGCTGATATTACTCAACATATCATATTCAACAGGCACAAAACAACTTATAATTCTCAAAATACAAATTAAAACAATCTCCTTTCTTTCCCTTTGCCCCGAAGAGTAACTAGCGCCAATCTAGTCATGTTTTTCATGTTCCAATTGAACACTTTCCATTTTTCTTTTTGATTCTAAAAAATCGTGTGGCCCTATTCATCAAGTGGCAAATGTAACCCAACAGCTACAAACAAGTCAACAAATTAACACATACCCAAAATCTAAATAATTTTTCTCCAATTGTGACCCCACAAATTTACATAGCACATAGAAATAGAAAGAATTCTTCCATAAATAATAAGTGGCAGTTGCCAGTTGGTACTGTTCCCATTAAACTGTACAAAACTAAGCTATTCTATTACATTTGGTGTAAACACTGCCACGTTTTTGTTCTTTTCCAAGAATGCCCTTTAACTGTCAATAACTTCCGAACAATTTTTTCATTCATCAAATTGCCTAAAAACTATTGAAAAACGGTTTTTCTCATTCATCAAATTGCCCCTCAATCATATAACCATCCAAAATTTTATATTTAAAATTGGAAGCACATGCATTTGCACTCACCACTAGTAATAACATATGCACATGAATACTGTCCATCAAAACTAGCCACAAAAAACAATTAGATTCGGCCGCTGACCAAGGTGACAAGATGCATTTTGGAATAGCGCAAAACCTTTAGGGTTGTAAACAATAACAAGTGCCACTAATCAATGGGCAAAACATGTAGGCATCAATAGTTACACATGCAAACTCCCAAAGGAAAAAAATAAATATAGATTGCCACAGGGGATTTCTGAAACTAGCTATGGTTAACTATGAATAGGGCCCAAAATTTCTAGGTTGAGCTGGAGGCAAGGAGAACCTTAATAAGGGCAACAAAGCCTCGTCTATCTATCTAGAAAAGATGCGGGCTGAGAAACATCCTCGCGATATATGTGTATCAAGAAAAGATGTGAAGTGAGAAACTTACTTAAGATATGTGTGTGTATGTATATTACACCTTAATCCACCACTCTTTATCTATTACTCTAGTAAATTGTACACCTTAGTCAAACACTCCACTTAAATGTTAAATTATACACCAATTCTCTAATGCTCATATATGGGACGCTAAATGATCTAGAGAATTTTAAGTCAATTTGGAAAATTTAGAAAGCTATAGTCGTCACACTAAAATATAGAACAGGAAAAAATCGTCAACACTACAAACTAAAACAAGAAAAGCATCCACTTTCTGTAACATATGTATAATCAGCCACTTGCATAAAAATGAAGAACATTGTGAACCTAAAAGGAAATGAACAATCAATAATTTTCAATTCAAACAAAGTCAACGATTTAAACAAAGTCAACGATTTAATTTAACAAATGAGACCAGAAGAGTGTAACAATCAACATAAAGAAGCAAAGAACATACAAAATGAGCCTTATCAAATCAAAATTCTGCATACCCGATGGCTTCTCAGGGTCAAAGAATGTGTACCACAAATCTTACTTCAAACTCCTCATACTTTGGGGCCAAAGTCAGATTGAACAATTTTTACAACTAAACTTGCATCCCTCGGACTAAACTGTGAGACCGCTTTCTATTTATCTACCTTCAGTAATTGAGGATGAAGTTAACGGCGTAGATTCAGCTTGTTGAGACTCATCAGAGGAGCCTCGAGAAGCTTCCTTTTTCAACTTGTGGTGCTACACCTGTAATGGTTGCATAAAAAAACATATTTCTTCACTAGGTCAATAGGTATCTAAGAAACACATATGTAAAAACAAGTTGCAGATGCAACATAATACGGACATACTAAAACTACAATTTTCAAAAAATGGAGACAAAAAATTGAAAATATAAAAACTGAGCTCGCAAGGTTGAAAACCCGCAAAGGGCGGCCTTGGCAAAAGTTAGAGCGCAAAAGGAGAGT